TAATATATCAAAATCTAAGTTAATCCTTCCTCTATTTGATGCAAGTTATGTCTCTTTAAAAGCTTTACTTGTTTAGAAGTTATTACGAATCAAACAGGAGTACTTTTTTTGGGCCCCCCGGTATCATTGAAACTTTGCCAAGGGGAGTGCATTACTTTTCAGGGAAGGTGGAAATATTCCCAGGGGGGGGGGGGGTTCAAACGATCTCATGAGAGGTGCGCACCTACCCTCAAAATCCGTCCATGATAAACAGATGGGCAATTGCTAGATAGTATACTTCAAAATAAGATTTCCATTTTGTTAGGGTTAGGTTGGGGTTAGGTTGGGGTTAGGGTGAGGGTTAGTATTAGGGTTAGGGATTAGTGTTGCGTTAGGATAGTTTTTTCTACGTTATAAAAACGGAAACCTTATTTTGAAGGATACTATCTAGCGATCACCTAAACAGATGTCGTTTTAAATTTGTCTCAACAGCAATTTCATCCTTTTACACTGGATTTAGTTGTTACAGATTTTGATCAGATTAGGTTAGACATAGTTCTCATAAATGATATTTTCATTTTTCATCTCGCAGACAGCTCCCAGGATTCCGTCGCTGTTTCTGCTGGACTACCTGACAGAGGACGCGCCTGATGGCGAGGACATGGAGCCCCCGCCAAGACGCTACTCCACCACACAAGAACAGGAGGTCCTGGATGAGAAAATCAGGAAATTTCAACGATCCTCCATGAGCAGACGTAGTTCAGCTATGCATTCACCTATACTGGAGGAAGTCATCGCCAGAATTACACAAAGCTTTAGTTCACGCTCTCAAATGGTAAGCACCGAAAGTTTATGTGCGAGCCACTGGCGAAGCTAGTCACGGCAGCTGGTCATGCTATGCCAGTAAACATTCATCTAAATAGGATCCATCTTCAAAACTTATTACAGGGTTCGTACAAAACTTGAAAGTCTTTGAATGTCCTTGAATTTGAAAACAAAAATTCAAGGCCTTGAATGTCTTGGAATTTGTAAAGAAGTACTTGAGAGTCGTTGAATTCTTCTTGCTTTAGTTTTTGGATATTTTCTGAAATTGTTTGACATTCAAAACGGACATTTTGTTGAATTGATTTTGCATGTTCATATCTGAGAAAACTGTTTGAAATTCATTGTTGCGTATTGAACAATTCAACATTTCAACGTACGTCACATTGTATTGATTTCTAACATCTTCTCTTCAGTATTTAGTCCTTGAATTTGCTGATACATGGCCTTGAATGTCCTTGAAAAGTCCTTGAATTTGACTCTTCCTGGCATGTACGAATCCCGTTAATTAATAATAATAACACTTTATTTATTGAGGATAAACAGATAAAGTTACACTTTTTTCCAATCTGGTCCTCCTAAACTCTATAGACACAACAACAATAACATTAAACATGACTATTTTCAGTACTTTCTATAGGAGTACGAACAAATGAAATCATGGGTATGATGTAAAGTATTAACCAGTACTACAATTCAGTTGCTCATACCTCGAGAAAGCCCCAATTTACTAATTAGGCAATTTTCTAACTATGTCTAAATTATATTTACAGTACAGTATAATAAGTCGAAATACGCGTTGACATACAACTCACAAGTGTCTAAAGTGACATTATAAACATCGCAGTATTTGACACTTTCTCCATGTACGAACAACCGAGTTAACAACAATTAATAACTTTAAAGGGCCTTATTTTACAATTCAAAGTTCTCGTCTTGAATAGACATCTGTTCGTATTTTAGACAACAACAAACATTGAAGCGTCTTCTTGTGATCTGGTGGAACAACTCCGCAGACTGTTCGACAATGACGACAGCAAGATTCCTGACGATTACTGGCCATGTGCCCCAGATGGGTACATCCCTAACTCTGTGGTAAGACAGAGAGTCCCCCCTAAAGAAGTGCCAGCGCATCTCATACCCAGGTTGATGAGAGGGGAGGAAGCGCAAGAGTGGTTTAAGAAGACGAAGAAAAAGTCGTCGAAAGATGATGTGGGTAAGAGATACATGAGGATTGAGAGGTATTTGAGAAGTCTTTATAGGAGGTAGAAGTGGATAAATGGGATTTGAAAGGATGTAAGAGATGACTCTTGCCGTGGATCAAAAGGGAGGGCAGTTTAGAACTGATAGAACTATCCAGTATAAATGAAGTTAGTTTAGTTTAGGTTTCCTCCTGTAGTAACACTGGATCAATAAGAGATGATCCTTACTGGACCTCTAGGAAGAACAGTTTAGAACTGATAAGGGTATCCAGTATAAATAGAGTTAGTTTAGTTTAGGTTTCCTCCTGTAGTAACACTGGAGCAATAACAGATTATCCTTACTGGACCTCTAGGAAGAACAGTTTAGAACTGATAGAGCTATCCAGTATAAATAAAGTTAGTTTAGTTTAGGTTTCCTCCTGTAGTAACACTGGAGCAATAAGAGATGATCCTTACTGGACCTCTAGGAAGAACAGTTTAGAACTGATAGAGCTATCCAGTATAAATAAAGTTAATTTAGTTTAGGTTTCCTCCTGTAGTAACACTGGATCAATAAGAGATGATCCTTACTGGACCTCTAGGAAGGACAGTTTAGAACTGATAGAGATATCCAGTATAGTTGGTTTAGTTAACATGTATTGATTTTCCCAGGCATGCCTGAAGATTACTACTACCCAATCGCCCTTGATGATGACGAGCTCGGCTTCTTCTCCATATTTGATGGTTATAACGAAGGCTCTTACGATCAGGAAAAGCAAAGTTTATTGCTGGAATCGTCTGATGAGAGCGAGGATGAGGGACTGGAGTCTAGTGACGATGAAATGGATCTAAAAAAGAAATGGAAGGCGTCGATTATAAAAACAACAATGAACAAGTATGGCTGGTTTTTGCTCTTTTTGTGTCTGAACTATCAGGAAAGATTGAACACTAAGGTTTTAGCCAGGACGCGGAATAGAGACTATGCAGAAAATCGACTTCTTAGTTTTTCCTATGATTTTGGCGTAACAGTAATTCGTCATCAAAATGCTGACGCCATAGTCCTAGCCAGTGCGCTTATGAGAGGCATTCACCCCCCTGATAATATTCAAAATGACGGACGTTCAGGGGGGGATGCCTCTCATAAGCGCACTGGCTAGGAATATGGCGTCTGCATTTTGATGACGAATCATGGCGTGTTAAACTATATTTTTGCACAGCGTTTGGCCACAGAATAAAGACGTACAGAAGTGTAACTTCCATTACAAAACCGTAAGGCGCTTGTTCTTAGCATGTGCCCTAAAGAGAGGCATTCAACCCCCTGGACTATTAAATTTTCAATATGTTTTCAGGGGGGTGACTGCCTCTCTTTAGGGCACTTGCTAAGAACATGGCGGACTGAAAAAATCCCTTATGCGAAATTAACCTGAAGTGAGATCTCTGTATGTACTTCCTCTGTGGTTTGGCTCACTCTCAAAATTGCTTTCAAGTAACTCATGTTCATGAGCGTGTGTTTATTTTGTAGAGATCAGATGTTGTCAAGCGTGCGAGCACGACAATCTGTGCGCGACCGAAAGAAAGTGAGTAAGAAACCGGAAATGCCGATGATTATTGCGGCAGAGGTAAGTTCCTGGTCCATCAGGGGTCGTTCACTTTTTTGCGTGCCTCTGTGACCACACAAATTATTTGAAAATGTGCCTGCAAAATGTCTTCGTGCAACATGCTCGAATGAATGAATGAATGAATGAATGAATGAATGAATGAATGAATGAATGTTTATTTAACGAGAGTTAAACACATGCCAGTTTGCACTGATAAATTTGTGGCTCTCAAACTATACTAGTGTATATACTATCTGTGAACCTATGAACTAATGCTTATATACTGTACATATTGCTAAACTCAGGATAAAAGACTATTATACTATATTGCATGTAAAAGATATTATATAAGATTTTATAATATAGCATTTGTAAATTCTGAACGCTGATTGGCTAAGACCCGTGTTGATATAACTCAATGTCAACACGGGAAATTTTCCGCCGCTTGTAAACACGGAAATTTTTCTTATCATTCGGGCTATTGACATTGCTATATTATAAAACAAATATAAAACATTTTTCCGTATTGATATATAGTTATATCAACACTCGTGGAAGTTGGGAAAACTCGAAATTGTATGAAAACACTCCGCCCTTCGGGCGTCGTGTTTCCATACAATTTCTCGTTTTCCCAATTTCCACTCGTGTTGATATAACTGTATATCAACACGGAAAATGTTTTATATTTGTTAAATATAAGATTATATGATAAAATGATCAATGTTTTCGTAGCTCTCCTTAAAGAGCAGTGTCATGCTGTGTTTAAATGAAGCCACGGATTCCTTTTCACGCACTGTCTTAGGTCACTGGTTCCATTGTTTTATGGTCGTATTGTCGCAACAGCATGCGAAATCACGACGCGATGAGCCATCATCAGCTATGAATTATTATAGATGCCGATTAGTAGGTTGGCTTATGAGTTATGGCTTTATATATTTTTACCTCAAGAAATCGGAGCCTCAGACTCTCAATCATACATTTGCACTGTGCACTGGTAGTTGTTCTCAATACAAAATAACTTGTCAGTGTCCCTATATCAACAAGGTTTTAATAGACTAATAGTAACAGATAGTAAGATACATAATAAAATAAAAATTATAAAATTTATTTGATAACTTCTGATTTCAAAAGTTTTACAAAATGTGCTTGCAAGAAAGTTGTTTTTGAAATGTGCCTGCGACCGTCTGTCCCAGCGGTCCTCACTTTAATGAGCCCTGCTGTCCGCCTTAGTTGATTTATTATTGCTTCACCCAAACGGTGTTTCATCTTCTAGGAAGAAGAAGATATTAATGACGTCAGCAAAGCGAAAGAAGCAGAGGAGACCGAATCATCAAACGGTAAAGAAGAACCCGAAGATGAAAACTTGCAACTACCATTAGTATTACGTAAAGTCATCGATCAGCCATGGTTCCCTAAATCATCTCTCGTTGAAGGAATTACAGTCGAGGATATATTTCATGAAATGATATCAATGATGGCTGACTGTGCTCCGCTTACCTACGGAAGAATTTGTGATGAACTTATCGGCCTTATATCGTGAGTTACTTCAAACCCTTGTTAGTTTTAGGGAGAACAGTTTAGGACTGATAGAGTTATCCAGTATAAATAGAGGTCCAGTAAGGATCGTCCCTTATTGATCCAGTGTTACTACAGGAGGAAACCTAAACTAAACTAACTTTATTTATACTGGATAGTTCTATCAGTTCTAAACTGTTTCGTGGAGGTCCAGTAAAGATCATCTCTTATTGGTCCAGTGTTACTGCAGGAGGAAACCTAAACTAAACTAACTTGTACTGGATAGTTCTATCAGTTCTGAACTGTTTTTCCTAGAGATCCAGTAAGGATCATCTCTTATTGATCCAGTGTTGCTACAGGAGGAAACTTAAACTAAACTAACTTTATTTATACTGGATAGCTTTATCAGTTCTAAACTGTTCTCCCTAGAGGTCCAGTAAGGATGATCTCTTATTGATCCAGTGTTACTACAGGAGGAAATATAAACTATACCTTATTTTTAAGATGTGTTGGGATGTCGGATGAACAAAAAACGAAGATGTTGCAAGTGGTCGTAGAGAATTTAGGCCACCCGGCAGCGGGAATTCGTCGTGCAAGTCTTAAAACCGTTCAAGAATTACAAGTTGTATCCAATCAAGCAATCGAAGGAATTATATGTTGTTTGGCTCGAGGCTCTCAGGACTTGCAGCAAGATGCCTTGAACGCCTTGGCACAGTTGTTAGGTAAGACATTGTTTTGTTTCAACCAGACAAAAATTCCGATGTACTTTTGTCGCTTGAAATGTTGAAGAAGATGCTCAAAATTTGTTCTAGTGTTTTTTTATTGAGTTTCCCAATCATTGGTCAGCGGATTTCCTAATAGGCTACAATCTCGTTCCCCGAGCCTGCGATCCTCGCCAAGGAACGTGAGGCTCTGGGATAATCCGTTTCAGGGAGGAATCTGATTGGCCGTTGAAATGGAATGCGTAGTTCAATCTTAGCCAGTATTCCTGGCTTCCGGCAACGGATTATCCCAGAGCCTCGCGTTCTTTCCCGAGGATCGCAGGCTCGGGGAACGAGATTGAATAGGCTATTGCTTAATTAGCCATTCCGAAGTTGATGAGTGGACTGGGACGAGCGTTAAAAATTGTAAATTACGCAATTCAGCTGTAAAGCTGCGATGTAATTATTTTAATAAATCCAAATCCAAAGTGCTCAAATTAAGAAATGAACCAAATCACTAAAACGACCACCTCAAAATTAGTAAGTATACAAAGTTTGACGACGTTTACATGAATACCCTTCGAATAATAAGCTTTCGAATATGGTGATATTTACTATGAAATGTATTGTAATTTTTGTTTTTGGGACGCGCGTCCCAAAAACAATCTTTTTTAAAATCAATAATTTCACAATTTTCGAAAGCTTATTATTCGAAGGGTATTCATGTAAACGTCTTCAAACTTTGTATACTTACTAGTTTTGAGGTGCTCTTTTTAGTCATTTGGTTCATTTCTTAATTTGGGCACTTTTTAACACTCGTCCCCAGTCCTCTCATCAACTTCGGAATGGCCAGCCTAGTCCCTAGGCCTCTTAGTTCGCCTATTGCGCGTTTCTGCATATCGGAAATCAAAAGCGTGCACAGAGGACTTGGGACTAGTCTGCGGAATTGCTAATTGATAGGCGATCTGAGATTGACGCGAAAGTGTAACAATTTAGTGGCATTTACTGAAGTCAGTGTAAAGGTAGTTCTTTCTCCTTATTTTAAGAGCTTGAGTAGAGGTCCGACCAAGGATTGAACGCAGATCTCTCAGCTTGACCATAGATATCTTATATACACTAGACAGCGCATCTCTTTTAGTAAAATTGAAGCCAATAATATTCCAGCGGTTACCCCCATTTGAATAGATGGCGGCCATGTTGGAGTTTCCCACTCGCTAATAAACGCTTAAAAAACATCAATAACTTTCATCATTTGAATAGTTTGAAAATGTATTTGGAATAGGTTTAACTTAATGTTTAAGTTCCCTGCTTAAGAAATAGAAAACCTACGAGTCTTCTCATTTCATGGGAATATCCTGAGTCTGCAATCACGGCTTCAATTTTTGAATTGCAGAATAATTAGATGCACTATCTAGTGTTTATAAGATATCTATGAGCTTGAAAGGCAAGCATGCGTAATGACCACGACACGACAAGTGTTGGTTATTACAGCTGTCGATGTTGTTGATAAAATATTGCATGAACTCATTTCCTCAAGATCAATTCATACGAATTCAAATTTCTTTTTACTTCCTGTGCGTTTCCTATTGGTCAATCGGTTCTGAAACAAAATCTAATTGGCTCATCTAAAATTAACAGGAAGTTGATCAATTTTCTATCAAATGAATTGATCAACTTGAGGAAAGGAATTGGTGCAATATTTTATCAACACTTCTATTGCATCGACAGTAAATACTGGTGACCGTCAGAACTGATAAGGGATTTTTTAATTTACATTTTTGGCGGGCATTATAGGTGTATAATATAATATTACAATATACACGAACCGACCTCACCGCGTAGCTCAGTTGGCAGAGCATTGGGCTAGTATTCCAAAGGTCGTAGGTTCGTATCCCACCGTGGCCAGGCATATTTTTCAAGCCTGCCCGGTGTGGATATACACTCAGAGTAACATCACACAAACATCTTATTCACCTGAGTACATTACACCAACACAGCAAATTTCAATATTACATTATTTTTGTTTCAGGAGTGAAAGACAAGGAAGCCCTACGGGACTTATTTATCCAAATCAACATTCTATCTCGTACTCCTAGTCCGGAATCCGACGTAACACCTGTACATCGACCCAGGACTCTCTCCTCGAAGAACATTGATCTTCTGGGGATTGAGGGGGAAGATGGCGGGATGGATAAGAATAAATATATACATGAATGGCTATCGGGAGATGAAAGCGCCGTAAAGACTAAAACGGCTGAAAGTCGTTCAATTTTCAAGAAGGAAAGTCGAGAAATTAAAATGGCGTCAACGATTGTGTCGAAGATGATGTTTGAAAAGGTTTGATGCTTTATGTGTACCCTTTATGTTGGCTTACATTGTACCCTGGTGTACCTTGATGTACCCAGTGTAGTGCATGTTTGGAGCTGATGAAAAACATGCACATTATAGCTGTCAGAATTTGACAGGTTTACTTCGATCGAGCTCCAGTTTATCGCTCATACAGGGTGTCCCAAAAAAAAGTGACACTATAGAAATTATCCTATTGTTATAATTTGAATGCCTGGGGCCGGTTGTATCAAGCCTGTTTAGCTTAAACGGTGATTAAAGTCTATAGATTCATTCAACAACTAAGCAAGTCTATAGATTCATTCAACAACTAAACTAAACGTTTTCAGCCTTGATAGAAAGATAATGTCTACAACTACATATTTAGTGCATAATATTTAAGTTGACTGATTCACGAGAGTGTTATTTAATTTTGACTTATCCATCGTTTAAGCTAAACGGACTTGATACAACCAGCCCCTGAGCACTATGCTGAACACTTCAGAGTGCGTAAACACAATGGAATTGAATTTTTAATTACCAGGCGCATAAAATCCTGTACTTAACAACAATAGGATAATTGCTATAGTGTCACGTTTTTGGGACGCTCTGTATTTGCCTTGCCTGATAGAATTCAGAAAGGCAATTTTTTGCAAATTCAGACAATCGTTTTCTTTCCTGTTCGTTCGTTATTTTGAGCAGCAATACACCTTACCGATTATCCTCTTTTACCCAATCGCCTCGTTATCATGTTAACTTATTTTAGCGTGTCAGGGGCAGATAAAGATTATATTCCCATGTTTTCCTGGACGAATTTGTTTCTTGCTATTCTTAGGCTCAATAACAAAGTAATTTTCAACCGTACTAAGCGCGAAACATGAGTAAGTATTTGACACGAAAACGAGACCATTTGTGTGAAAAGTGAATATAAACGGTAAGGTCTCTCCAATATCGCGTGGTTTTTTGCGTGACATTTAACAAATATAAAACATTTTCCGTGTTGATATACAGTTATATCAACACGAGTGGAAATTGGGAAAACGATTGTTGAGTGTTGATATAACTATATATCGATATGGAAAAAATGTTTTATATTTGTTTTATAATATAGCACAAAGAAACATAAAGAAAGAAATTTTCTGACGTTTCCGTGTTGACATTGAGTTATATCAACACGGCTCTTAGCCAATCAGCGTTCAGAATTTACAAATGCTATATATTATAAAATACTCTCGCGTGCCAGCAAGACCTGAATAATTTATTTTAATTTTCTTTTATGAATGACTAGCCTGATCCACGTCTTTCCATCGTCGACCTCACATTTCATGACTCATCAGTATCCTCCCGAGAAAGTTCCGAAGTTGAAGAAATCTCCTCCCCGCCGATGGAATATACTCATGACCTGATACAGAAACTACAACGGACTGGGTTTGGCTGTAAACTACTCTCAAGGTTGGGGTATGGCTGGTCTCCTGCGGATAGTTCAAAAGATCCGATAGTCAACTTTGAAGTTCCTCAAAAAATTGAAAAGATTGAAAAAAATTCAAAAATTGAGAAACGACCGCCGGGTGCACTTATGGTAGGTTGAGGCACAGTGTCACCTCCTGAACGATGTGATTTTTCATTGTCTTGTCATCGTTTTGAAAATCTCGCTGTTCTCCATGTCATCCAGTTATAATCCAGTGATCAGAATGTTCCATTGTCTTTTCATTGTTTTGAAAATCCCACTGTTCTCCATGTCATCCAATCATGATCCAATGATCAGAATGTTCCATTGTCTTTTCATTGTTTTGAAAATCCCACTGTTCTCCATGCCATCCAATCATGATCCAGTGATCAGAATGTTCCATTGTCTTTTCATTGTTTTGAAAATCCCACTGTTCTCCATGCCATCCAATCATGATCCAGTGATCAGAATGTTCCATTGTCTTTTCATTGTTTTGAAAATCCCACTGTTCTCCATGTCATCCAGTCATGATCCAGTGATCAGAATGTTCCATTGTCTTTTCATTGTTTTGAAAATCCCACTGTTCTCCATGTCATCCAGTTATAATCCAGTGATCAGAATGTTCCATTGTCTTTTCATTGTTTTGAAAATCCCACTGTTCTCCATGTCATCCAATCATGATCCAGTGATCAGAATGTTCCATTGTCTTTTCATTGTTTTGAAAAACCCATCACTGTTCTCCATGCCATCCAGTCATGATCCAATGATCAGAATGTTCCACTGTCTTTCAATGAAAATGTAAAGCCACCGCTAAAAAGCAAAGCTCAAGTATTTGAAACTCTATACGTCCACCTCCTCTATACGTCCTATTAACCTCAGTTTCATGTATGTCGGACAGAATGTCCGGTGCCTTCCTCTCTATACGTCGGACAATTTCACGAATGGGTCGGACAATGTCCGTGACTGATCGATATTTTAAGACCTGCAACTGTTCAATCAATGAAGACGTTATACGATCTTCACGTAATATTACAACAATCAACATCACACATGTGTATAATTTATGTGAGTCCGGGGGGTTTATTTGTTTTTCTATTTATCCACAGCAAGCCTATGGCTTTCTTATGTACATCTATACTTCCCTTCATAGGGTTTTGCTTATGGAAAAGTAGAAAAGCCGTGCGAGCATGAAGAAGGGGAATGGGGCGAGTTTAACCAAGGATATGAGAGACACAGGTCCATGGGCCACGAGCAAGGTCAGTGATATATTTTCTTGAATGTGGGTCTCATTGGAGTGACTTGATGTTTTATACATCTCACTACTGAGTTCAATATAGTTATATCGTATGCATAGCCAGCATAGGTAGTACATGTTTTTGAATGAGAGTTCATTGAGATCTGATGTTGTACAGAACTCACTGTTGCGTTAAACATGATGAGATCATATACAGAGGTAGTGCATATTCTTGAATGTGGGTTGCCTCCAAATGAGCTGATATTGTAGAAAACTCACTCCTGAGTTAAACATGGTCAGACCATGCAAAGGTAGTACATGTTCTTACAGAGGTAGTGCATGTTCTTGAATTTTTGGTTGATATTGTATAAAACTGCTAAATTATGATGTGAGTAAAGTCTCTGAGAGTAGCATGGTTAGGAATGAATGCCTACTACATTACAGATATGGGTGGTTTTCCAGACAACAACGTCTCACGAGTTTCAAGTTTGTCAAAAAGAAGCGGACGACAGCAAGAGATTCAGCAAGAGATGAACAAAACAATTCTTCCCAAGATTCTCAAGAGAATAAATACAAATCGAAGAAATTCGACTTGGAGTGCCGTCAGACGTCGTAACGGACGTCGTGTCAGTCTAAAACAACAATATCGTTTTAAATTGCCAGGTAAAGTTTGTTTGTTTATTTGTGTTGGTGTTTGTTTGAGTTTGTTTGCTGTTTTTTTAGACAATTTATTTAAGCAGGGTAACTAGAATTACATACGTAACTTTCGCTTGTTTTGTTTTGCTTTGTTTTGTTTCGTTTCGTTTTGTTTTGTTTTGTTTTGTTTTGTTTTGTTTTGTTTTGTTTTGTTTTGTTTTGTTTTGTTTTGTTTTGTTTTGTTTTGTTTTGTTTTGTTTAATTGCTTTGCTTTGCTTTGCTTTGTTTGTTTGTTTGTTTGTTTGTTTGTTTGTTTGTTTGTTTGTTTGTTTGTTTGTTTGTTTGTTTGTTTGTTTGTTTGTTTGTTTGTTTGTTTGTTTGTTTGTTTGTTTGTTTGTTTGTTTGTTTGTTTGTTTGTTTGTTTTTGATATTGGTTTTATAGTTTACGTTCTGTGATTTCCAGGTTTCGACCGTAAATTACCAGAATGGAAAACACAAGCCGGCGCTTCAACACAGGGCGAACAGCAGATCGACCAACCACTACAACAGCAACGTGACATTTCTAAGAAAGGTAAACTTATTTTTATTTTTTGCATCAAAATCAATTTTTCAGCTTTACTTGAAATAGACACTGATAGAGCTATCCAGTGTAAAGTTGATATAATTAATAGTTTATGTTCTGTGATTACTCTTATTTCCAGGTTTCGACGGTCAATTACCAAAACAGAAAAGACAAATGCGTGGTCCTATGGAGGGCAAACAGCAGGTCGAACAACCAGGTGAACAGCAAGACGAAATTTCTAACAAAGGTAAACTAATTTGAATTATTTTGAATCAATTTTTCATCTTTACTCCCGCTGTCACTCAATTCACTCACATGTGTATCATTTAAATACTATTGGTTACCTTTGTTCCATTCTATGTTCACATTATCAGAACAGTGGTAACTAGGCATGTGAGTTATCAATTCACTCACATGTATCATTTAAATACTATTGGTTACCTTTGTTCCATTCTGTGTTCACATTATCAGAACAGTGGTAACTAGGCATGTGAGTTATCAATTCACTCACATATATCATTTAAATGCTTTGTTACCTTTGTTCTATTCTATGTTTACATTATCAGAACAGTGGTAATTAGGCATGTGAGTTATCAATTCTCTCACATATCTAATTTAAATACTTGGTTACCTTTGTTCCATTCTATGCTTACATTATCAGAACAGTGGTAACTAGGCATGTGAGTTATCAATTCACTCACATATATAATTTAAATACATGGTTATCTTTGTTTCATTCTATGCTTACATTATCAGAACAGTGGTAACTAGGCATGTGAGTTATCTGAAGATGTGAGTGACAGCAGGCGTAAGCTGTCGTAGCTGGTTAGATTTATTGCACTAACACGCCAACTTTGTGTAGTTCAAGATGAAAACTCTGCAAGATCAGGACGACGCCTGACACTCGACGGAAAAGAGACAACTATCGACAGCAAACGTCGAAAATCCATCCTTAGAGGACTACAAAGACGTCGTCTAGAGGAAGAACTACTTGCCAGTCAGCTTAAAAATTTAACCAATCACCAACAAGATCACGACAGTCCTTTATCAATGACGTCATCACTTCGAGTCCCGACCCCCAGCGAAGAGAATCTATTCTCCCCTGTCTCCAAGCTTACAAATGAGAGTGCGGCCGAATTTCATCTGCCAAGAATTCATCTTCATTCCAAGCACACTGAAACGACTAAAATATCAAGAGGTGTAATATCAGATGGTATAACCCGTGGGGTATTGCCAACCGATACAACGCGGATCGTGCCGGGCACTAATGTTCCATATTCTCTGTACACTGAAGCTGAGACGACTAAAATATCAAGAGGTTTAAAATCAGATGATATGACCTGTGGGGTATTGCCAACCAATACAACCCGGACCGTGCCGGGCACTAATGTTCCATATTCCCTATACACTGAAGCTGAAACGACTAAAATATCAAGAGGTTTAAAATCAGATGATATAACCCGTGGGGTGTTGTCAACCGATACAACCCGGACCGTGCCGGGCACTAATGTTCCATATTCTCTGTACACTGAAGCTGAGACGACTAAAATATCAAGAGATGTAATATCAGATGATATAACCCGTGGGGTGTTGTCAACCGATACAACCCGGACCGTGCCGGGCACTAATGTTCCATATTCCCTATACACTGAAGCTGAAACGACTAAAACATCAAGAGATGTAATATCAGATGATATAACCCGTGGGGTGTTGTCAACCGATACAACCCGGACCGTGCCGGGCACTAATGTTCCATATTCCCTATACACTGAAGCTGAAACGACTAAAACATCAAGAGATGTAATATCAGATGATATAACCCGTGGGGTGTTGTCGACCGATACAAACCGGATCATACCAGGCACTAATGTTCTATATTCCCTATACACTGAAGCTGATACGACTAAAACATCAAGAGGTGCAATATCAGATGATATAACCCGTGGGGTGTTTTCAGCCGATACAACCGGGGTCGTCCCGGGCACTAATGTTCCATATTCCCTGTGTACTGATGTAGTCGGTGAACGTTTGTCACAAGGGACATCTGTGATCGCTAGGAGACCTTTGGGTGATCTAAGGATGAATAATGAAGCTGTGCGAGTCCTCCGTGTGAATCCCAAGTTGACCATTGATACCGGTGAGTGTACATTAGTTTCCACTCGTGAATCAGTTTATTATGAGGTAAAGAATGCATCAGAACGTCTTATACTGGAATATCTTGTTTTTTCCAGGTTGTAATAAATGGGGAAGAAGTCGTTATGGCGTTCTGGAAGTAGTATGGACCTCTAGGGGTATCTATGACCCACAGGACTTCGAGATATCCACTGTGATAAAGACACGTCACCACCAAACTGCATTGAATGAACCAACTCAAGCACTGTGTGTCCCTACCGAACGGATTGCTGTGAAGAAACTGCTTAAACCTATCAGAAATCGCAATCTAGTCGCTAACCCCTACACTCGCGAAGCTCAACAATGTTTTGCTAAGAAATTACGGAAGTTTCCGTCTATTTCCGAAGGCGTGCCGTCCGCGACTTCGAGTAATTCCGGTTCATCACGAGAGCGCATGGAGCCTGAGCATCTTTGCACTGTCCGTGAACTGTTGGAATTTGACAATCGCTGTTTATCTAGATCGAATTAAATTAAATTATATTTTTGTTTTAATAATCAATTTATCAAGTTTAAATACTGGTCGACTTCAAAAATGTTAAAGATGATTCACCGTTCTGCGCATCAGTTCTGCTCATAACAAAGGGGTGGAGAGGATTGCGGGCTCTGGTTTCGAGATTGAGGGGGACCCCCAGATATAAACATTGCCCAAATTTGCATTTTTCGAACTTTTTTGAATTGAAACGTAGAGTTTATATTCATTTACAAGCATAGTGAACCAGAAAAGTGTTAGATATTCAGTTAGTATATCATATTTTACAAATATAGCCGTTCAAAACGTAAACAAAGTTCGCGCATGCGCACAGGGGTGGACATCATCTTTAACACTAATAGGAGCAAAACAAGCCTGAAAATATACGGACACTGTCCGACACAAAAAGGGCAAATGTCCGGCAAAAATTTTTTCTCGCCGGGCAGTATGTCTGCTACAGTGATACTGCTATGATTCTATTGATGAAAAGTGAAAGATAAATGCTGTGAATATATCTGTTTTCATGAAAATTCAGCAACAGCTAGGTATACCGCAGTATAAATTAGTTTTTCGAAGTGCCATTCCAATCTCGTTTCCCGGGCCTGCGATCCTCGGGAAGGAACGTGAGGCTCGGGGATAATCCGTTGCCGGAAGCCAGGAACCCTGGCTAAGATTGAACTGGCTAAGATTGAAATTAACGCCTCCCGAAACTTTTGTTGCCATGGTGACCATGACGTTTTAATATGGCCACTTTTCTTTGGCTTTCAATCTCGTTCCCCGAGCCGGCGATCTTCGGGAAGGAATGTGATTATGTGAGGCTCTGGGATAATCCATTGCCGGAAGCCAGGAATCATGGCTAAGACCGAACTGCGCATTCCATTTCAACGACCAATCAGATTCCTCCCTGAAACGGATTATCCCAGAGCCTCACGTTCCTTCTCGAGGATCGCACACTCGGGGAATGAGATTGAGTGTCAGTCCATTCTCGTACCCCGAACCCTTCTTACGCGCGGTGCGACGAGGGGCTCTGGCCAAATCCATATCAAACTACCAGAGCCCCTCGTCGCATCGCGCGTAAGAAGGGCTCTGGGTACGAGAATGGTGCCAGTCCAGCTCGATCTCTTCCGAAAATTAAGGCTATGTCTTAATTGTAAAAAGCGTTCAAATTAAGACATTGCCTTAATTTTAAACCTAATCCCCACCCAACCCCCACCCTAACCGCTAACCCTAATCCAGACATTCCAACCACTGGAGGTAAAATTTAGGGAGACTGTTCAGTGAATTGAAATCTAGTTCTTCTGGGAAAAAATAATAAAAATGAAGTCTTCTGAAATGGCGTTTCCTGCATTTTGGGACTATGTTGTTATAAATGATCCTATAAGTTGCCATAAAGTAACTTCAAAAAAGGTCAAGACAGACTATTATGTTGCTAAAAACAGTATATTTATATTTTTTATGATATTTCCTGAATATTCTGAAAAATCGGGAGAATTTTATAAAAATCGGGAGACCGGGAGATTGCATGAATTTTCGGACGACTCCCGGTAAAATCGGGAGAGTTGGAATGTCTGCTAATCTAATCTTAGTCTAATCCAATCCAAATCTGGCGACCTTTTTTCCCTTTCCGTTCGCACTCTTGCCACCAACTGGCCTAGTGTTTCATGTTTAATCATGTTTCGTGCGCAATAGGGTTAAGGATAGGTTTGTGATTGGGCTCAACATCACAGAGAAACATATTCGTGCTGACATGGGGACACCTGCCTCGTCCCCAGGCGCTATAAAACGATTTCGCATGCCAGTCACTATAAAAGGTTTACATGAATTAGTGCGTCATTATAGGCGCGCAAAGGGGGATGGGATATGAGCGTTGTCGCCTTCTATTCTAAAACAGGCAAACATTGACAAGGATGACATTAGGTCAAAAGTGCAATAAACAGTGAAGTCTAATCCATTTGCCACCGGAAAATCTAGGTTCGATTTCAGAAAACAACTCAAGTAAAACGACAATCAAGTAGAGCATTGATTAATGCAGGAATGAGGTTTCTGGGATAAAATGTACGTCCATGTATTTGCCATCCCTGCTGATATGTCAAAACACCAGTGGCTGGATGGCATGGAGAACAATGGCTTTTTCAAAACAATGAATAGACAATGGGACATTCTAATCAATGGATCATGACTAGATGGCATTGTGCTAGACAAAGCCCGTATTGTCAACGCAAAGTTGAGTGCTAGTCTACCAGCTGTGAGCGTTGTCATTTGCCAAAAAAGGCGGCATTTGTTCAAGACACCTGGTTGGAGGTTTTGGCTACTGGACAGAGTCTGAAAACCAAACATTTCACCTCGGCAAGGTAAAGGTCGTTTGTGTTACCTAGCAACGCTTGCGTCAGTGGTTACCAATAATACCAAACATACGATTCTGATATAAATTTGTTTCCCTGTTCAGCGTTTCCCCCCATTATTTCTCTCTGTAGAATAATCACGAGCTTTTGATTTTTTTACGTTTACACAATGCGATTTGTCGACAGTACAATTTCTGGTTTTATAGCTAATATACTCAATGTAATTGATATGTGTCGAGATAACGTTCCACGACATTTTCAACTGCCCAAAAATCACAATATGAAATCGATATATACTAAAACATGCTTTTAAAGCTCGAATACAATTACAGGTCAATTACATGTAAAAAATCACTTAGTATTCGACCTCGTTTTCCACATTGTGCTCGGCCCCTCTAACAGTTTCGACATTAATATTGAGTGGCCAGATTATCTGACCAGATTTCCGTCCAAACAAGTCAAAAATATCCAAAATCGCGCCATGTAGTAGTTCAGTGACCTATATACATGGATATTAGGGTAATACTGAGCGATAAACAAGTCTGAGAACAACAATATAAAACGAATATAAAATACAGACGAACAACAATATAGGTCACGTGGTGTTGTACATTTCATCCATGACGTCACAGGCTTCCGAAAGCTTTTGTGTTTGTAGAGTTTATGTTGATGAGTAAAATTTTTGGTGGGGAAAAAATGAGTTTAAAACGACGATCTCCCTTGGAATTCAAACAAGTCCTATCATGAATTTATGTGAAAAATGCAGAATGAAAACAGCGAGCAAAGGATCCGCAAAAGGAATCATTTGAATCACAAGGCAGCCGAGAAAGAAGAGGCGAACTCGCAGTGGACTGGCTTGGAGTTCTTCAATAATATCAAAAATTTGAGCCCGAAACTTTGGAGCTTAGACTTTCTCACAAGTTTAAAGCTAAAAAACAATAGTTTAACTAGAATACCGGCTGATATAGGCAAGCTTATTTCGTTACAGAAACTCGATTTATCTTCAAATAAATTGCGAAGTTTGCCGGCCGAAATCGGAGATCTAATCAACCTCACCGAATTGCGTTTAGACAACAATAACCTACACAGTTTACCACATGAATTGGGACGATTATTTCAGATCCAAGTTCTTGGACTGGACGGAAACCCCTTGTCGCAAGAAATACTAGCGTGGAATTCAAAGAAAAATGGCAGCGCTCAGTTGATCGCGTATTTATTGGACCGTTTATCGGGTGAGTAAAAACTCGTTTGTGTTTGGCTGATACAAGCTTCGGCCGTCGGGCGCTGAATATGAAATTAATCATTGTCTTTTGCTGTGAAACACTTACCCTATTTTGCATACAATACTTTCCAAATACCCTTTTAAGCCAAAGATATTTTCTCAAGCTTTTTGGGAAAGTGATTTTGGCTTTAATAAATGACAATAAACTTTCCAACGTGTCCTGCATCTTCGCTTCAAAGTACAAATAAAATTCTGCTGAAACAAAGGGCCATCAGAAATCGCACGAGCACTAATTGTACTTCAAGTTTTTAACAAGAAATTAAACTAGATTGACACATAAACTGAAAACGAAAGGCATTAACGAGTTTAATATGCATCGGGATAAAATTTGTAGGAATATTAATTTTGCTTTGGATCCCAGGATAATTTTTTGATAAAAAATATTCATAATTTTAAAGCAATTTACAAACCATTTAGGCTTGTATATTTTCTTGCCAAGTTAACCCACATATTCAACTTGAAACAAATCCAAATTTCAATGATAATGAAAGCGAAAAATATATTTTCAGATGTTTTCACTGTAAAGGATGTATAAGTGTTATATATTTTTATTCCCAGCTTATTGTAAACAATGTTCTGTTATTCTTCCTTCCCATTGGTTAATTTCAGCTGGTCTGTATTTTTGGGACCTGTAGTCCTGTACCCCAATTTTGTGTGTGTGGGGAGGGGGGAGTTGGTGAAGGGCTGGGTTACAACTTCGATGTACAGTTCTTTGATGCAGTTGTGCGTATTATTAAAGGGAGGGTTGGAGACAGTTTTACTTGTGTTTCCAGCAATGACGAGGGCCAACAATAAGGTTTTATAACATGAATCATGCGCTTAATATTCTTAGGCAGCGTTCAGATTGGGTGCCCGGCACTTTATTTTGACGCCAAGTTTGAACACAACGCTTCCAAATGAAATTGGGCACAGTGCCCAAGAAAGAGCACTACTTCTAGAGGTAGTACGAGTTCAACAATGTTTTTCACTTTAACCATTTATATTGTGCCAAAACATGACTATTCTCTTTGTTTCCTAACCAATAAAGACTTCCACATGAAAGAAATCAATTAATAGTTCACAATATGGCTAACATGAAATACAAGCGTTATCTTGTGCCACGCAAAACTTATTGCTAAACTGTAAAAGGAGAAATATTTTTGCACAAATTTCAACATTCAATAAATATGTGCTGAACCTGTGTGAGATGAGAATCATTAAGTGTGAACAGGTTGAAGCACACTTGATTGCATTTGTGACAGAGGTATAAATATCTTTCTTCTTGCAGTATGCGAAAGACCAGAAGAACGACATTGGCAACTTCTAGTACCTGATAAAAGACGGACAGCTGACTGTAAGTTTAAAATTCTATTTAACCCTTTAAGCATTATCCATATGAGAAATCATACTTAACCCATTGAGTGCTAGCACTCTCCCCCTGATGAGTAAAATCGTCTTGCGTTAGACAAAGTAAAATAATAAAGTAGGGTGCATCTCGGCACAATGCCATTTAAAGGGTTAACAGGGTGCATGGGCAGCACTCTCCCCTGATGAGTAAAATTGTCTGGCTGTAGCGTATGCCCAGCCATAGTTCATATTGTTTGTGTTATATGTATAATGTAGTAAATAAGTTTATATAAATACGGCAAAGCCTAATAACTTGTAACTAAATAAGTGGCAATGCATCCTGATGTACCTTACTTTATCATTTTACTAGAATGCCGGATAATTTTATTTTCAAGGGGAGAGTGTTGCCACAGTGGATTAATCAGATTATCTGCCCATGTATCTTGTAAACCCTTTAAGTGGCAATGTGCCCTAATGCGCCCTACTTTATTATTTTACTCTGTCTAATACCAGACAATCTTACTTACAAAGGGGAAAGTGTTGGCACTCAACTCAATGTGTTAACATGTACCTAATTTATGTTTCGCTCACTACTCTGGTTTAAATAAATGACTATAAAGCCCAGTCGAATTGTAATCAAGATCCAACATTGGACACTCCAGTCTAGTGTCTTCATCAGGGGTGATCTAAAATTGCAATCATGGCTTCTTAAGTACCCAAGGGATGACGTCACCTGCCACTTAAGAAGCCGCAATTGCAACTTTAGATCGCCCCTGATGAAGACACTAGACTGGAGTGTCGAAACGTTGGGTCTTGATTACAATTTGACTGGGCTTTGTAGTCATTTATTTACACCAGAGTAGCGAGCGAAACAGGATTGATATACCTGGTTGTAGGGATGAGCCGTTAAGGAAAATTGCCGATTACTGAGGCAGATTATTTATAAGCCGATTATCGTAACTAATCAGCCGATTAATCGGTACCCGCCAATTATATTAAAAAGCAAACGAAAAATCACAAGATGACCAACAATGAAGTTGTAAATGCAGTTTTATTGTTTACAATACACATTATGTACAATTGAAAACAGCTTCAATCTTGCATGTCAATAGTCAAAGTTTAGTTTTGGCAGATTATGGTGTAAAAACAGGATATTGTCAGCTATGCGGAGCTAGTCTGCTGCATTTTTCAGTGGAAATGTTCCCAGCTTCACTTCGCTCAAGACAAAAGACACAGGTTTTGCAACAAAATGTGAAAATCTATTCGCTTGTATTCAGTATTTTAGCATGTGCTTTGCAGCCGATTATTTGCCGATTATCAAGCAATAATCGGCCGATTACCGATTATTTAAAAAACGGCCGATTAATCGGCAAAGCTGATTATTTACCGATTAATCAGCTCATCCCTACCTGGTTGCAGTGAACGAAAAACTTTAAATGTACCTAATTCTTCATTTTATACTTTATTTCATGTTTCTCTGCAGATTCTTTCATTGTGATGTGCTATAATGTTTTGTGTGACAAATATTGCACAAAGACCATGTATGGTTACTGTCCAAGCTGGGCACTCAAGTGGGAATATAGGAAGAAGTTGATTATGAATGAAATTTTACAACATCAAGGAGACATTCTAAGCCTACAGGTAACTAAAACTCACCCAAACCCCTGCTGCAGCTTTAAAAAGTTTAATATATTTGTTATTTATCATTTAGGAAGTAGAAACGGAACAGTTCTACAGTTTCTTCTTGCCAGAATTGCAAAAGCATGGCTATGATGGAATCTTTAGCGCCAAATCTAGAGCGCGAACCATGTCAGAAGATGAGAGCAAGAAGGTTGATGGTTGTGCAATATTTTATAAAACAACCAGGTGAGCATGCACACTGTAATAATCTCAAAGTTTGAGTTTCAAAAGTCAATTCAAGACTCAGTTTTGGGGGCCAATTAATGGCTGTAAAAAAGCCCTGAAAATACCCTGACATACTATGAATTTGTAAGCAAATCTGTGACCAAAATTGTGTATGTACAGGAAGCTCACCACTCTAAGCCTCAGGCTGGCGAAATATTAGCCATGAAGACACTATCGTGAATAAATGAATCTGTTTATAGTTCATGCTTGATCTAAAGCTTTCTCTCTTGTTAGATTTACATTGAAGAAACAAGATATGATGGAGTTCAATCAACTTGCAGCAGCCAACTCCAAGGATGCTTCAGACATGTTGAACCGTGTGATGACCAAAGATAACATAGGTATTGTGGCTCTCCTTGAAACAAACGAAGATTACAGTTATGGTCCTAGCATTGACAGAACAAGAAGACAACTTATTGTGTCGAATGTTCACATGGCATGGGAGCCTGAATACTCTGATGTCAAGTTGATTCAGACCGTGTTATTGATGCAGTTTCTGCAGAAGTTTCGGCAGGAAGTTGACAACGGTTATATGTTGGCAGGTGAGTCGCTTGTTTGTTTGTTTTCTTGCTTGTTTTTTTGTTTTCTTGCTTGTTTTGTTTGCTTGCTTGTTTTGTTTGCTTGCTTGTTTGTTTGTTTGTTTGTTTGTTTGTTTGTTTGTTTGTTTGTTTGTTTGTTTGTTTGTTTGTTTGTTTGTTTGTTTGTTTGTTTGTTTGTTTGTTTGTTTGTTTGTTTGTTTGACTAGCATAACTAAAATAAGATATCTCAAACATGGTGGTCCAGTGTAGGTTATTACCTACACTGGACTATTTCTACAATAAGCTGCCGTGGTTTGTGTCTGAACTACCTGAAAAAATATCTCAAACGTGGTGGTCCAGTACTTGTAGGTAATAATTAATAAATATAAAACATTTTCCGTGTTCATATACAGTTATATCAACACGAGTGGAAATTGGGAAAACGAGAAATTGTGTGGAAAGGGCGAAGTGTTTTCACACAATTTCGAGTTTTCGCAATTTCCACGAGTGTTGATATAACTCTATATCAATACGGAAAAAATGTTTTATATTTATTTTATAATATCGCACAAAGAAACATAAAGAAAGAAATTTCCGAAGTTTCCGTGTTGACATTGGGTTATATCAACACGGCTCTTAGCCAATCAACGTTCAGAATTTACAAATGCTATATTATAATCTACAATAAACTGCCTGTGGTTTGTCTATGAACAAGCTAAAAAGATGAAAACACTTCGAAATAAATGACAGTATCATTCAGAAATAACGCCTAGTTCCAACCATCCAGCATCATTCATGTTTGAATCAAACACAGTGGCTGTGCATTGAATTGACGATGCTCCTTATTACGTTTTCGTAGCGCTTTGCATTGTGGTTATAGTGGTATCACTGACGTTCAAAATGGCTTATTTTTTGTCCTGACCCGTTCAAGAACTTTTTAAAAAAGCTAGGGTCAGGTGCGCGATAGCCAACAGCAAAATATTCGCGAAAACATTCAATATTTTCATTCGAGGCCGCTATCTTTATCAGTGATACCACTATAACCACAATGCAAAGCGCTACGAAAACGTAATAAGGGGAATCATCTAGGGGTGCACCGGAACTCGGTTCCGGCCGGAACCCCGATTTTTTAGAGTTCCGGTTCCGGCCGGAACTAGTAAAAAAAGCATGGCCGGAACCGGAACTCTGTCTGTTTCAGAGAGATAGAATATCAAACGTTTTTGTGTCTAATAAAAGTTCACAGTAGGAAGAAATTTGGACTACCCAAGGGAAATATACACTATAACACTTCATTATGACGTTTAACGTTTGTCAATCTTTTTATTCTAACATTTGCGAGCTCTCTCCTTGATGACTTGAAGTGTCTGCCTGTCTGGCAGCAGACAAAGTAACATATGACTATATATGGCTTAATATATTAGTTCCGGTTCCGGCCGGAACTTTTTTCCAGTTCCGGTCGGATCCGGTTCCGGCCGGAACTTAAAAAACTGGTTCCGGTGCACCCCTAGAATCATCAATTGGAGTGGAAACATTCACCATCAACAATGCAATTGAAACGCAGCCTGGTTCACACTAATAATCAGTCGGTGATTTTTCTCCTCCTGGCAAATGTGATCGAATGAATGACATGCAAAAGACTTAGAATTGTTTACTTCTGAAAAGCGACTCTACACTTTTGTGTGCGAGTTCACTCATTTGCATCTGTCAACAACACAAAATCTCCGACAAAAACGCCAATGTGAAGCAGGCTTTAGAACGCACTCAAGCAGGGTTTTTTTCCAGGATTTTCTCTTGGGTCCGTTTTTGCAGAAAAGATTGAGTTTAGCTGAACAGATGGGGTGGTTGCACCCCCCGGTAGGGGGGGGGGGGCTGACACGTGTACTCAATAAATGTAGTTGAGACGGAATGTGTTAAAGCAGGGGCACTAAGGGACACTATAAACTGGTTAAAGATGGCGAATGCATAGTTTTTCTTGTGTTGTGAGATGAATTCCAGCCATTTTTCTTAATTGTCGGGTTTCCAACTGAAAACTAATTTCCACACGTCACGAATTTAACTCAAACAACTTCATTTTTACTGCACTGAAACTTTGGTGAGAAGATTGAGTTTCTAAACTCAATTCAAGATTGAGTTTTTGGGGCCGTTTAACGGCCCTAAAAAAACCTGAAAAAAAGCCTGTCAAGTACTTGTTTCAGGCGTTATATATTTCACTCAAATACCATAAACGTTTATTTTGCAGGCAAGAACGGGACGCTACCTCGCCCTATTCCACTCGTCATGTGTGGTGATCTCAACTCCCTCCCTGACTCAGGACCAGTCGAATTCCTGGACAAAGGCCGAATATCCACTGACCATCCTGATTTCCAGTCCCTTGACTACGGTGGATTCCTAACGCGGTTGAGCAGCACGCGAAACGGAGAGAAGTGCGCGGAACTCACGCACGCTTTTAAATTAAAACGAACGTACGAGAATCTCGAATGTAGCAATTACACGCATCACTTCCGAGGAGTTATAGATTGGGTTTACTATAGTTGTGATGAAATAGCCCCCATTGCCGAGCTCACGTCTGTCCACCCCGAGTACCTCAAGAGGAATAAATTAATTGGGTGGCCACACCCACATTTCCCCTCCGACCACCAATCGCTATTGGTTGAATTTGAGTTTGCGGAGAAATCCGTCACGCAGAATGGCGAGTACGGAAACCTGGGGTCACAACACCGGTAGGTAGGAACTTTCTTCAGGGAATCATATTTTTTTCCGGACAGAATTTCACCCAAGATCATTTTTTCTGACGTGTTCCCTGGTGGAATTTTTATCAACGACACACCTCCCTAAAGTGAGCATGTAACCATGGCAATGTACATAATGGCGAATGCACATGGCTGTCACACTGAGAATTATTACGGAATAGACACATTCAGCTGCTGCACTAATTTATTTCATTTCTCGTATTTTAGTACTAGCTTGTTATAATGTAGACAAGCGTGTGTTTGGGATAAATTTTTTATCATTTTAATACTTTGGATTAGTCGGTAGGCTTTATATAAAAGTAATGTAGGGGTTTATTTAGCAAACTACGGAATGAGGAAACAGTTTTTGTAGGATTAGGACTTTGGGAATAAGTGAATATTGTGTTTATATCATATTTAGTGCATACGATGGTCTGGAAATTCACCAAATTCTCTTTCGTGTTCACGCCCATCCAGGGGTTTCAGGTATATTCATATGTAGACCATTTTACTTTTGGTACACAGTATTTTATTGTTAAAATAAGTTGAAATATGGATATAAAGTATCCTACTTTCAACCAGGATAAAGTGCTCAGGAACGTAGCCTGGAATTTTAGGTATTGTAGTATATTGAGCCAGTATCAAGTATATTGGTATTCTAGTGACCCCCCTGGCTGGGCGGCCTGATTTTTGTGTCCATGATGAAGACATTGGGATCATCAGGTTGAGTTGCTGAAAAAGATCCTTGCATGTGAAGTCATCTCGCCATAAGATCACAGCTCATTATAGACGTTGAAGAGTTTCCAGCGCATTGACCATGGTGTGCAAGTGGGTTTAGGCAACGTAATATAAACACATTTAAGTAAATAATTTTAAATAGTTATTCATTTCTACGATTGTTTCTGGGACACAAGTTTGAACTGACTTAGGTAATTTATTTCGAAGTTAGGTTTTACATAGCATTTTCTTATATTAACGAACTTTTCAACGTAGTATTATTAGGTTTATTAACTTTATGAATTTTCTTGTAAACTAGCAGTAAATTGGTTTGATAAATCACCCAGTCATGACTAAAAACTGGTCATGAATCTCTTGTGTCAGAGATTTCCTGTATATTAAACATAGTGTATTAAAATACTTTCAGTTGTAAACTATAGAACTTTGTCAGGGTTAGTTTTTCAAACTTCTAAAATCGACCAATGGCATCTACCACCGGCCAACAAATGTATATACTTTCATAACAATAGTCCAGTCCGAATGAACTGATGGAAGAAGTGTTCCATTGTCTTTTCATTGTTTCTGAACTCCTATGCCTTGCAGTCATTGTTGTATTGTGATTTGCGGAATAATCGACCCTTACTTGTGACAAAATGGTCTGTAGTTTTCAACTTAAACATACTATGGAAAAACAAGTGACTCGATAAGTCTCTCATAGAGTATTTTAATAAAACACAAAACAACAGACACTTTACGTTTCGACTATTAATTTAAGTCATCTTCAGAAGAGTGTCCATTGTGTTTTATTAAGTCTCTCATGGTATGTTTGTTTTGTATATTTAGCTTTTTGTTTCTGTAGTATGCTAATGTTTCTATTTTTAAGCATTACTTTGTTCAATAGCCAAAACCGACAATTCAATGTATGTATACAGTATATTATTATTGTAAGGTAGAAGGGTACTAGAATCTTGTCAAAATTATCTTACGCAGCTTTTTAACAATGAAATATAATATTAGAATCATTATGCCTTGATATTGGTGATGGTTGTCTTGTTGGTGGTGTTGTTGTTGTTCTCAGACTTGTTTATTGTTCCCGTTATTTGTAAGGAGAAACAGACAGGCAAATGAACAAGTCTCACGAGTCCGACTTGATTTCAGGTTTTTGTTAACCTTTTAGTGATTTTCTCTACTGTCAAAGGAAAGTGAAAGCATATACTGACTGAATGTTATGTTATAATGTGACATGAAGGTTCCTCCAGAGTTGACTCCACCCAGTCTTTTGCGTCGATTTTGTAGGTCTTCCCATGACGCAACGAGGGCCTGCAGAGGAAGCAGACCATGTATTGTCGAGATTGAGATCTCGTCTGTCCAGGATATCGATGTCCAATTTCGTTCCCCGAGCCTGCGATCCTCGGGAAGGAACGCGAGGCTCTGGGATAATCCGTTTCAGGGAGGAATCTGATTGGCCATTGAAATGGAATGCGTAGTTCAATCTTAGCCAGGATTCTTGGCTTCCGGTAACGGATTATCCCAGAGCCTTCGATTCCTTCCCGAGGATCGCAGGCTCGGGGAACGAGATTGATCGATGTCGTAATTCCGGGGGAGGGGGGCACCGGGGAGAGTGCAAGAAAAATATTTACCATAGACCTGTCCGGTAATTACTTCATGACTAACACTGTTTTCAACTTAGGACCACCTTAAATGGAATATATTTCCAGTTTCTCACGGGCTATGTTCAGAGAAGCAGAACACCCTTCGTCAATACATGCATCACAGAATAAAGATCTATACAGAAGGGTCACTTACGTCGGAAGCTTTGAAGTTTCTGTCGCTGCGCATGTCGCATTACGCATGTTGGCCGCCATTTTCCTAGCCAGTCAACTGGCTGGCTGCTCTGCCGCCAGGGTACGTAAACTGCATACTTTTGCATAAAAAAACGAGGACGCGTTGCACCGCTGAGCGGCCCTTCTGTTACTGATCTTTATTCTGTGACTGGCATGCATAAAAAATCGCACTTTCCCTATTTTAAAGATAGCCGACCTCCCCCCTTTCTTGTGAGGGAAACCCCCCTTTCTTGTGAGGGAAAGTGAGCGCGCAAGGAGTGATGGGAAGAGTTTTCAATCTTCCCATCACTCCCCGCGCACTCATTTTTATTCAGGAAATTTCATGTAAGTTCTTTGTAATTACTCCGGGCTGCGGAGGAGACAGCGACCCCCCCTGTCATTTTAAAATAGCTCGGAATTTGTCGACTGGCATCGGTAAAGTGCCGAGATCCCGACGGCGTGCCGGGCAGTTCCGAACAGCGTGGTGAAGAATGTGTGGAGAAGCAAAGGAAAATTAAAATGGAGGACCTTTTTTATCAAACTTTATACCTTTATTGGAAGGTAATATGCTTTATTTAATATCAATCCTTGTAGTAGAGTACTTAGATTACCAATATAGATGGAAATTTAGGACAACGAACCCGAATTCAATGCGATATTTCGACATAAAGTTTGTGCTTTTGCTTTGCACGTGGTTCGCTTTATGGGCGATTGTCGAACTTTAAACGGAGTAAAAAGACTAACTGAGATCTAGAATTGTTTAAGTTGTCGAAAAGTTGCTATCTCTGGGTTCTTGCCGAAAATTTTTATATTATAAAATGCCGAATACAGAGACGAGCTTGTACATTTCAATCTTGTGACAAAATATTTTTGATGTTTTTATTCATTTATATGCAGAAAAAGCCTACAACGTATTTGATTCATGCTTGCAAAACAAAGTTAATTATGTCTCACAGACATTCCAACTACTGGAGGTAAAATTCTAGTTCTTCTGGGAAAAAATAATAAATATTAAGTCTTCTGAAATGGCGTTTCCTGCATTTTGGGACTATGTTATAAATGATCCTATAAATTGCCATAAGGTAACTTCAAAAAAGGTCCGAGACAGACTATTATGCTTCTAAAAACAGTATATTTATAATTTTTTTATGATATTTCCTGAATATATTTCTGAAAAATCGGGAGAATTTGATAAAAATTGGGAGACCGGGAGATTGTATGAATTTTCGGGAGATTGCATAATTTTCGGGAGACTCCCGGTAAAATCGGGAGAGTTGGAATGTCTGGTCTCAATCAATTCCATAGTTGCCCATCCTTTGCCCCCCGGCATTTGTCGGGAATTTTCAACTGTACTTGTTCCCAGGGTCCGGACATTTGCTTTCTGCAGGTTAGCCCTGGGGTGGGGAATTTGCTCGAGGCTAAAAAGTTGAAACGAAATGGCCACAGAATCGATTTTAAATACAGATATATTGATACGAGATAGAGCCTGCGTTCGATTTTTTTGTTAAAAAATCTTCAGAAAACTTATATTTTGTTTCCAAGGGTGGGAATTTTGTAGCATTTGGACTCCATGGTGGGGCATTTGCGACATTTATGCCAAAATGACAAATGCCCGGGCGGGAGGGGGGGGGGGCACCCATGGAATTGATTGAGACATTTATTTACAAATAAAACTAAGTGAAAATTGCTACAATAAGGCAAAATACAGAATTGTGTTTCTTGACCTCAGGAGGTCGGAAAACGAAGTTTAACCTATGAATGCAAAGAACTTATAAACACAAAATCTTCAAATATTTTTTGGCTTGATATTGTTCGGCAATTGCTGTGATCCGTTGGCATTGCCACAACATGTAAACATTTCGCTATTCAAGCTATTCACATCCTCAGTGAAATTCTGGTACATTTTTGTAGATGTACAGTGGAAGTTTGAAGAACTTTGCAAGCCCCTGCCTCAAGATCTCATGATTATGATAAGTGGATACATTCCAAGATCCTGAATTAGAGGTAAATTATTTTTCTGCTAATTATTTCTAACCTTCTTGGATCATTTTCTTTGTAATATATTAATTTGTTTCACGTTCTCAATAGTGAGTTTTTAAAATTTTCTAGATGTGTGTTGCAATTTCCAAGAATGTCCCAAGTTGTTGGCTGAAGTGTTTTTGATCACCAAAATGAGCACCGTCATTGGAAAGTATATAAAAGGTCTTAATATTTTCCTGTCTTATCTTACATGAAATGCTTTGAACATTACGTGATTGCCTATGGTCAATGGTTTTGAAAATCCCAGCAGAATGTTGCAAAAATAGCACGACCATCTGACTTATGACACAAAATTCAACAAAAATAACAAACACAATCTTTATGCCTAAATATGGTGAGTGCACAACAATTGCACTATTTTCATTCTATTATTTCACCACTGTTTCGACTTGTAAATTAATTTGGAAAATGTCAGTTTTGTGGTCCCTCGATTACTTGATTAATTTTTGTGTTGCCACTGATCACAGAAAGTCTATAATTTTCAAAGCATTTTATGAGCAAGCCAGAAAATGACAAACTGTCAAAACTTTTGTTTAATTTAATTAACAGTGATGATTCGGTTTGGACATACATTTTTTTCTGTTTGGCATAATAGCTAAATCTTAAAGTGCAGAATATATAAATTTCTGTTTCTCTTTGTTCTACCTGAGAACATAGTTGTTTCTACATATTTCCAAAGTTTTTGCAAATATAAAAAAATGAAAGTTTGTCATTATTTGGCTTTGTTACATCAGTTAATTTAAACATTGAGAAGATTGAGGTGGTTTTTATCAGAAACCCAAACGGTTATTTGCAAATAAGACCTGTGACTTTATTAGTTTTAATTCAGGATTTTATTTTAGTCCTCTTTCATGTTTCGGTATTAATTTGGAGCATGTTTTCATTAAAGGATTAAAAGAACATTGATGAACATTTGTCTCATCGTCCTTTGTGTTTTGAACTTATCAAACTGCATTGTAAAAACAGTAAATTATGTTCCATCTCAATCTTCTCTTGTTTAAGTGGACTTTCATTGTTTGTTGAAAGTTTGGAAAGTTCATCTGAAAATCACAATTTTTCTTTCAATGTTGATTCTGGATGTTTTTTGAGTCTTGAATATTGAGTCTTAGAAAAAGCAATTAGTGATCAATTAGCACTGTTAGAATCGAACTGCCTTGTTGTTTAATCCTCCTGTCTTATTTATCCCAGCACACTCTTAATACATGAGTTCGATTATTCCTGGACACAAATAAAATGGATTTGTTGAGGGACAAGGCAGTTCTATACATTACTGACTTATAGGAGGGTTGTCCTCTTCACTTGTTTTTCTTATTATTGAATTTTGGAACAAACTTTGTGATTTTTAAAAAAACCTTCCCAACTTCAAAACAAACAGTTAAGGTCGAAATAGGCTAGGATATTGCATTTACTTAATTACAAAGTGGAACTTATTTGAATGTGGATGAACTGAAGCAGCAAACTATACTTATTTTTTTTTTTGGGGGGGGGGGATGTGAGATGGAGAAAATAAAAGAAAACTGATTGTCATGCATGGCAAGGAAAACCACAACCAGACTACAGGATAACATATTCTAGGGAAGGAAAGCATATATTAACTGTTTGTTAATTAAAGCAATCCAATAATTGGAATATTGAGGCTGAAGACTGAGATCGACAGTTTGTTGTGCTATAATTTGATAAGATTTAAATCAAAATTCAAGCATGGAATTAACCATATTTTTAGTATTCATCAAAATTTGTGTGTGTTTCATCACACATAAGATCGGCAATGACTGAGATGCCCTTTATGCACCAAATAATTATCTGAAAAGTTCTATATTCTAAAATTATATTTCAATTTAAATAATCTAACCTACTTATTTAAGTGTGAAATTTTTTAAGCTTGAATATCATATTTTATTTCGAATCAGATTCAATTAATGAATTTCGTACTTTGGTTTGGACACTGAGATGACAAGATTATATTTTTAAATTTTTATTGGCTGGTTGTGGTTAATAATTGTTCGGCAATTAGAATTAATTTTTTAGTTTTCTATGTTTACATGTATTTTTTTTTGCTTCAGTTCAACATTGTTTTCAAGTAGTTCCAATTTGTAATCGTGTGTTATAATAGTTAATAATAATATAAGAAAACAGGTTTACATGGCACTCGAACATGGTCTTTTCAACAAGTATGTAAAGGTAAGTTTATACTTCAAAAAGGTCTGTTTTTAACCTGACAAGAATTTCATCCAAAATTAACTAAAACTCAATCTTTGTGACCTTTCAACAAAATTTCATAAGTTCAATCAGCAACTGCTACTACTGTATATGTCTTTTGATGTTTGTGTTTGGTTTGCTTTAATGTTGATACTAGAAACTGATGAAAATGCAATATAATATTTTGTTTGTTGAGAGAGATTCTAAGGAGTAAGGATTGTATGGAAGCTGATTGTTCCTTGGGAGGACTTTGATCAATTGATCTGCTTTTGAGTTAGCAAAGTGCAATACCCAAAACTTATTTCCTGTTTTTCATTATGCAAAACCATAAGCTATTTTCCTATTGAAAATTACCGTTTGGCTTTGACCAATATAATGAAGTGTAAAAAAAAATTATGAACATTTGAAAGTTTTGTTCAACCACATTTTGTATGTTTCTGTACATGATCTGCATAAAAAATATTTCCCGAAGTGTTTTCTAAATATATGAATAATATAAAACAGGACAACTTTTCCCTAAGTGAAATTTAGGAGATGTTTGTTTGTAAAGGAGTGGATGAATGTGTATCATTTTAAATGTATTTATCGAGAACGAGAAATGTACCATTTTCTTAAGCAAAGCAAATTGAAACTGAATTTTTGTTCTAAATTAATCAGAATTGGAGAAATAACTTTTTTAAAAATTTTATTGAACTTCATTTTCATCACTTGAATTAATATTAACATATATAATCAATTCAAAGTTGTCAGGTTAAAAACAACGCTCAAAGATATATGGCTCCGAAAGACTGTGTTTGCGGGATAATTTCAAATTCTTAAATTCTTGATTTTGCACTTGAAAGAAATTTATATATGTTCAATTGAGTATGGAACCGATGATCTAATGTTTCGATGTTTAAAAAGATTTCTGAGTTTAGGGACCGGTCATAAAGTATTTACTAGGGGGTGTGGAGGATTTTTTTTTTTTTGGGGGGGGTACGAAAAAGCCCCAGAACCTCTGAGGGGGATACGAAAAAACAACAGAACTTCTAGGGGGTACCAAAATCTTAATAGTATAGGTACGGGAAAGAATTACATTTTATAATTATTGTTGAATATTGAATGTATTTGGGCCCAGATTTAAGTTTGGAAAGAATTGTTTTACTATAGTTATTATTAAATCAAAACAAAGTGTATATGTTTCAGTCTGACTAAATGTCAGATGATAAGTAGGATTCAGTATCCGTGCGACTTTTGGAGTACAAATCTGATACATCTGAAATGCTAGCAAGCTCACACCATTAGAACCTGTTAATGATTGAAAGGGGGGTATGAAAATTTTCATTTACATTGAAGGGGGTTACGAAAATTTTTCCATAGGTTTTTGGGAGGGTATGGAGATATGTACTTGAAATTTCATTTATCCTTCACCTAGTAATTACTTTATGACCGGTCCCTTAATGAAATATGCTGCCAATGTATTGTCAAAATGTTAAGGCACTTTGAGTAAATTAATTTGCTTCAAGCAATGGAATTTGTTGTAAACGACAATGTCTTTCCAACCATGTGACAACTGATGTTGCATTACAACGAATGGACTTCACTTAGCACCTAAACATTGCGATAAAATCATTATTTTCCATACTCGAGTGAAAATGTTGGTTTCTTTACCAAAAACAGTTAGTTGTATTCAAAAAAGTAAAAGCAAGTTCGATTTACTTTGTCTTTGAGCCATATATTTTATTTGTAAAACAACCTGGTGTTACGCTTTTCATTTCTCCGTCACTCGTAAAATTTATCATTAGAGTTGTTTTACAATATTTATTTTGAAGTGTAAACATTTATCTTGAAAAGACCAGGTTCTCTTGTTTCCTCAAGAATTAACTTTTTTAATGTTAATTCGCGGGAAAACAAGTTTTTTAATGTTGTGTTTTCACTTGTGCTTATTCACTTGTGTTTAAACACAATGTTAATTGTTCTCTTTATGCCATGTTCTGTTTTCTTCTAGTGTTATTTAAATAAGTACAGTATGCAGTGGTTGTTCTCTTTTATTGTTATTCAAATTGTAAAATTACAAGTTCTTTTCAATAAATTGTTCATTAATTATACAAGAGACTCCTTTTTAATTCAAAATTCAATTCCCATGGGAATTGAAAAAAAAAATTAAAAAAAATCCCTCTACCCCGGCCGGCTCCCCAAGTGCTACCTCTACTTCAAGCAGAAGCAAAAGTACTTCTACTTAAAGTAGAGATAGCACTCGGAGAGCCAGCCGGGGTAGCGGGGCGAAGAGAAGACCAACCTTGCAAATATGCTAATGCAAATTGCTAAGTTGATCTTCTCTTGAGAGCAGCCACGCGCATACCTAATAAATGTAAACAACAAGCATTAGTAACAAATACTCGTCATGCAAATTTTGAATCCCATGGCCGAAATGACAAGTGCCCCCCACTGATTCCTACCAACTGCCTCAATCCTAAGCTATCTGCCTCGTTCCTAAGCTGTCTGCCTCGTTCCTAAGCTGTCTGCCTCGTTCCTAAGCTACCTGCATTCCATTCGTAACTTCCGCTTTCCTCACCATCACACAGACACTCACAACTGCCCAACCTGCCACCACCCGAACTGCCCACCCTCAAAACTGAAGGAATTAAAATTTTGGTAAAATATATTGCATAATTAATTTAATTATTCGGATATTTTAGGCCAAACGCAAACAAAAAAAATTAAAGGTTGACGATTAAGAAAGACCGCGTATACAAACAGGTGAGTTTCTTACTTGCCTCTAACATGAAATTTACATAGAAGGCCATAGAAAAATATACGAAACCTCGAAATCCGTATTTTTCCTTCTATATATACTTTACTACTGTTTTGGTTTAAATAACGAAACTCGACTAATTTTTCTGATGTTAGGAGATTAGTTATTTTGTTCAGAAAAGATATATTTTCTCTTTAAATATGCTCTCAAAATTTTAATTCCTTTAGTTTAGCCTAACCCCATGCATCTTATACACACGGCGCACACTCTCACACTCCATATAATTAGCTAGTAAATTACGTTATAAACAAAAAAGCAAAATAAAAAGATAAATTACGTTATCACTAGCTATCCTATATCCCACTTAGACTGAGTTTTGGATTCTGGTTCGAAACGTAACATCTTAACTGAAAGGGCATGGGCTTGAGTTTTGTTAACTGGTCCGAAGTAAATACAAACCTTAAACTTACCTAAACCAAAGGCTCGATTAAATAAGCATGAGAATGCATAGAATTATTTTCAAAACTTTTTCATAAGAGTTTAAAATCCAAACGAAAATTAAAATGTCACTAATTTAGTGAGCATATATATATAGTATTGTTTATCTATATAGTTCAAACAGATCGAAACAGACTTAACCGCAATTCTCGTACTCATTTAACCGGAACGTCTTGATGATCATTTGCATGGCACGTCGCAGCTGCTCTCAAACTCGCAAGTGACAAGATACTTATCATATTTAATCAAAGAGGATTCATTATAAAGTCAAATTTCCACTATGAAATCAACATGAAAACAAAGCATAGTATATTCCCCTGGGAATTAAAAATACGCAAAAAATAATACCTTTACGCTTGCGCAAAATAAAAATTAACATAAAAAACGAAGTATATTATATTCCCATTGGAATTAAACACAGGAAAAATAAATCCACAAATTCCTAACTTTTTAACGCTTGAAATAGGATTGCTTGTTTTCATCGTATGTTGATTTCATTGTGAATACAAGACTTATCCCATAGTTAACAGAATATAAACATGGATAGGGACCGCACGTGACAGTAATTTTATTATCAACACCAACTGATGGTGCTAGATTCCAAGCCAAACTTGGTGCTAGACTCCACGCCATGTTTATTTTACATTAGCGAGCTTAAGATGCACCAAATCTACGACGCGGACGTGACATAATTTTTTTTGCTAATGTTTAGAATCCAGTTTTGTTTTGCTTCACTTGTGTCTCCGACTTTGTTTACCAACCGGAGACCATAATTTTTCTCCGTGTAGTGAAACTGTGCTGTCTTGTGTCACTTGAATCCCCTTTGATCTTTAAATAAGTATTTTGTCTTTAACTAACTTACATTGGTAAAATTTTTCGCTACTTTCATATTAGCAATGTTGTGGTTTCGGATTGTTGCGAATCGTCATTCTTTTCTTGGCTCCATGCCATTCGTGAGTGGTTCTGTTTGGTCTTTTCATCATCTCTTTTCATCACATCAACATTTCATCATGTCACCTTTTGAAATTAAAAAAGTATCCATGAGACCATGAAATAGTATCGAATCATGTTAAAGGCGTGAGTGATATTTGGTAGAATAGAAACTTAATGTATACGTAAATTGTCAGGCTTCGGTTGTTCAAAGCTGGGTTAGCTTAACTCTAGGTTAACCTAAAATTCAAAGCAAATTTCCTCACAGCTTGTCTATACATTTGGAAATATTTCTTCAGAGATCTTGTCTGGATCGAGAAGAGTTTCTCTGAAGTTTTTAAATAAACAGACGTGTAGAAATACACAAACTAAAACAGCAGGTTAAATTTTAACCCAGGGTTAGCGCTAACCCACCTTTCAACAACCTGCCCCAGGACTTATTATCAGATATTCAGTCCTCACAATTCTACCAAATTTAGGCTTCGGCGTCAATTCAACGGCATTTATTATCCCATAATAACAATTTTGAATTGCGTGATATTTCATGTTTCAAATGATCAATTAATATTATTAATGTATATAATTAATGATATCGATGATAGCCTTTACTCGGCAGGTTTTGGGCTAGCATTTGGTAAATATGACGTCACATGCTTTTGGCCATCCTCTGCCCAGCCCCCAAGGCGCGTGGGTCCCAGTCTTCTGATTTGATAAAGCACTGAGTGTTTCATGTGACGTCACGCCAACCATGTTGGAGGGCAATATCCAGTGACGGGGGGCGGGGGGAGGGGGGCTAAGGGGTAAGACGAATTTGTGTTGCCATCATACGGTCACCCATCGTACTTCTTGTTGAAACAACAAAAAGGTAGGAATTTTGTCTGCGCACGCGTCAAAGTTAGCGCGGTGAACAGATAGGAGATCTGGGGAGGGTAAATATTACATTTGATATTTGAGCGTTTTATTTGTTTTTTGGCTTAGTTTTTTCTACTGAAAAAATATTGTTATTTAAAGCTTCGTTGGGAATCGGAGGGAAAGTTTCCGACGGAAAATCGTGAATTTTCCTATCAAAAATACTTTGACCAGTAAACGAAGAAAGATCCAGTACATGCTTTTTGCGAAAACAAATTGATATTTTTGCGAATCTTCTGTTCACCAGAAACGGCCAGAAAAGAACTCATAAACGTTTAAAATAATTTTTCGAATGCGCCAAAAATTATTGACCAGCGGCAGCGCGGACAAAATTCGTACCTGTTGAAACAAAGCGAAATAATGATAGTGCATGATACTTAAATATCGAAACAACGTTTTGGAATTATAGTTGTTGGTATAGGCATTTGTACGGTTTCGCACGAGTGTGTTATACAAAGACGATCAAAATTGCATGAGTCTGAAATACGAGTGCAATTTGAAGTCTTTGAAAAACCACGTGGAAAATTCACGAGTGTATGTTTTTATCTATTACTTTTTTTTCGGTTTTTAATGAGAAACGGCTAAAAATCGCTGAAATGATTTTTGCTTTTCTCTTACCTTGATAAAACTTGTGTTACTCTCATCTTGACGATGTTGTAGGATCTGTTGGTTGTAGGTCTTCATCTGAAATGAAAGGATATTTCCCATCAGTAACAAAATATTAATTGGACATTTCACTACACATGTCATAGGAAACGTTTACTCAATATACTTTTAAAGATAGGAACGCTAAAATTTCAAAAGTAAAAATAAAAGTCGAGGTGTAGCATATCACACAGAAATAAAGGAAGAACTGAGTAACAGCGGTGTCCACACACTGGGAGGCGCGGGTGGTCACCCTGTAGCAAAGCTGTAACAATAATTTTTATAACCATGCATATGAATTTTTCAATCAAGCTATATATTGCGTGATTTAAGGAAAAGAAGATTACATTAATTGAGATTTCCAGCTACAGAAGGTGGTCATATCATGTTGGCAATCAAATTCCCCCACCCCAATATTTGGCGAAGTGTCCGCTACGACTGAGTAAGAATAATAGGGTGTAGCAATCAACATGAGTATTTAAAAATATTTATATTATTGCATAAGCATGCACCAGCAAAACTTACATTCACTGCATCTTTGCATCGTCGTTGCTTCTGTTTTGTTGGTCCGCGGTTCTTCATTTCTGTAGTTGATGATCATGCGTGCTCCGCTCAATTTACGGTCAACCACCATAAAAAAAATGGGAAAAAATTCTGTTAATAAGCGTAACGATGGGACTTGCAAATGGATTTGAACGCTAAATTTGACTTAATTGTATAGAACATAAATAACAGTGACAAACCGTACATTTGCTATCATCTTTGATTAGTCGTGGCTTCTTTTGGTCGTCATTCTGTCGACGTCTTCTACCACTTTCTCATCTGCTTGTTCCTCTTTGCTCTCGCTTTAATTGTGTCGTCCAGTTGTTGCCTTCGTATCACTCTACCAAAAAATATGCAATGAAAAGGTTAGGAAAAAATTTAAAAAGAAATGGCAAGAGGAAATTTTACAATGTAGGGCAGAGTTTTTGAACAATTGTTACTTGTTGAAAAGCAACTAGTCTCACAGGCCACCCAGAAAATATGTGTATTTACTTAAAATGCGTTAAAAACATTTAAAGATGCGCATAAAGTTCGCCTGACTTTGCTATCTAGCACTTTATTGTGTAGCTCATTATGCATGCATAGTCGCATGATTATGTCATTGTATTGTCTATAGTATAATATCCTAAGGCTGGCAACTCTTTCATACAATACATTTACACACATTAATTTAGTACGCTCGCTTGAAACAACAATAGTAACGCAAATTTCAGAACAAAAAACGGATACAAAACACCTTGGACATATTTTCTAAATTTGTTTATATAATTTGTTTTGATACTTTTTAAAGTTGAAACAAAATTAGAATAAAAAGTTCGTAAATTTCTTCAATAAAAAGTTTTTGTCGAAATTATGCTGTAGATAGGCAAATTGCTCGACAAACGTCATTATTGGAAAACCATCGGCTCATTTCTTATTGGCTGGTGAAAAATCGGAAAATTCCAAAAAAAATAGAGGCTGCTCCATTAGTAGTTCGGAGTATTCCGGATTTTCAGAACACTAATTGAATCAAACCGAAAACAGTCACATGACTGCTCTGACTGCTCCCACTCAAAAGTAAGGGCAGCCAGAACGGTCATGTGACTGTCAGAACAGTCATGTGACTGTCAGAACAGTCATGTGACTGTCAGAACAGTCATGTGACTGCCAGAACAGTCATGTGACTGTCAGAACAGTCATGTGACTGTCAGAACAGTCATGTGACTGCCAGAACAGTCATGTGACTGTCAGAACAGTCATGTGACTGTCAGAACAGTCATGTGACTGTCAGAACAGTCATGTGACTGTCAGAACAGTCATGTGACTGTCAGAACAGTCATGTGACTGTCAGAACAGTCATGTGACTGTCAGAACAGTCATGTGACTGCCAGAACAGTCATGTGACTGTCAGAACAGTCATGTGACTGTCAGAACAGTCATGTGACTGCCAGAACAGTCATGTGACTGTCAGAACAGTCATGTGACTATCAGAACAGTCATGTGAACAACTTATTTAAAGAGGGTAGAAACACATGACAGCAATATAGCTGAAAAACCTGTGGCCCTCATATACAATACATACAAAGTTATTAATTCTACTTTAAAACGTCTAAAAGCTACTTAGAGTAAATATGTAAAAGGTCACTTAGGATTATAAATTTATATATACAAATTATATACAGTACAACTTGATGGTACGTCACAATAATAATTCGAAGCGATCGATGCCCTTATAAGATTCTAAGAAGTATTTTTTAAGGGCAAACTTAAAGGAATTAACGCTAGGTTTCGTCTTAATATCCTTCGGGAGATTGTTCCATATTTTAATGCTGCTGACCGTTACAGATTTTCCTCCCTCAGTTGCATAATTATATTTAGGACACACTAAATTATATTCGCCATGACGAGTTTGTCTACCATTAATTTCATTGTTTGTTTTAAATAAGTCCTTAATATATTGTGGAGCTTGATCATGCAGGCTCTTGTAAACTAAAGTGCATTTGTTAATTTTAACTTCGTCATAAAAAGGTATCCAGTTCAGTTTATTAAAATTGGCTATTGACCTGGAGGAAGTGTCAGTTCCTAAAATTACCCGAGCTGCTCTTTTTTGTAATTTAAAAATTCTAAGCAGATCATTTCGCGAGCAGCAACTCCAAATAGAACTACCATACATCATAACTGGCTTGACGACAGCGTTGTAAAATAGCTTTCTCTCAAGTAGTGGTAAGTATCTTCGTATCTTTCTCAGCAGGCCGATCTTTTTACTAAGGTTTTTACTAAGTTTGTTTATATGCTCTTTGAAAGTTAAATGTTCATCAATGATTACGCCAAGTAATTTCTGCGAAGAAACCAGTTCAATATTTGAATCACTTGCTGTAAGAGGTAAGGAAGATAATTGCATTCGGGATTTAAGGCGTTTACCAGTAATAAGAATTGATTTGGTTTTGTCAGCATTTAGTACCATTCTATTTTTGTCTGGCCACTAGCTGACATAGTTGGTGTATATCGTGTTGAAGGTTAACTTGTAATTCAGTCGACGCGACAGAGAAGTAGGAACTTGAAGAGAAAGTAGTGTCATCTGCGTATACATCAACAGTTGAATTAGGTATGTTTGGAGGTAGATCATTTATAAAAGCAAGAAAGAGAAGAGGGCCCAGAATGCTACCTTGAGGGACACCATGAGTTATACATAATGGGCGTGATTTGAAGCCGTTGATTTCCACAAACTGTGTCCTGTCTGAGAGGTAATTTTGGAAAATCTTGAGATAGGTATCATCCACTCCATAAGCGCTTAACTTTTGCAATAAAAGCTGGTGGTCAATCAGGTCAAACGCCTTGCTGTAGTCTACGAAAACAACGCCAGTAACGTGGTTTTTATCAAGGTCAAGAAGGATTTGGTCTAGTAAGCGAATTAGAGCAGTTTCAGTTGAGTGGCGTTTGCGGAAGCCAGATTGCAGGCCGTATAGGAAATTGTTATTGGATAAGTGTGAATATAGTGCTTCGTAGAGATGTCTTTCGTATAGTTTTGAGAGGATCGGAAGAACAGATATTGGTCTGTAATTTTGTTTGTGTTCTACACTTCCTTGATTCTTAAAAATGGGGGTGACTTTGGCTACTTTCCATCTGGATGGGAAGGTGTTTGTGGAGATGCAATGGTTTATGAGACGTGCGACTGAGCTCGATATAGACGGAGCAGCAATTTTCAGTAATTTAGGACTCAATCCATCAGCACCTGTTGCTTTATTAGCTGGCATAGAATTTAGCATTTGAAGTACCTTTTCTGGAGAAATATGTGGAATTTCAAACTTTATCTTTATCTTTAGAGAGTTTAGCAGAGATTCGCTACAAAAAGTAGACTTTATAGATGATAAGAGACGTTGTGGTTGACTAACAAAGAAAGAGTTGAAGATTTCGGCAATGCTTCTGCTTTCCGTTACAAGTTCTCCGTTTTCGTTTAATTGACGAACACCGTTGTTTTCTCCCAATGATGCTCTTGATAGATCTTTAATCAATGACCATAGTTTATTTGGGTTTTCTCGATGTTCATTTACTTTCGATTTAAAATAATTTCTCTTTTTATTACGGATTAACTGAGTTACTTTATTTTTGGCCAGTTTGAAAATTGACCAGTCATTTGCGTTGTTGGAAGCACGTGCTTGTTTTAGAAGTCTGTCTCTGATTTGAATTTCATTTGTTATATCATTTGTAAACCATTTTGGTTGGATCTTTCGTTTAACTCGTTTCGATATTATTGGAGCGTGTTTGTTAAGGATATTATTAAAAATGGAATACCACGAATCAACAATGTCATCAGTATCTTCAAACACGAATGCTGAATCCCACGGGGCTTCTGAAAGATCTGTAGCAAACAATTCATTATTGAGGGACTTTAGATTTCGGTATTTGAGTGATGTGTGTTCATGTATTTTAGTGCCTGCTGCACCTTGCTCTCCGGTTTTCTTAAAGCGCCTGAGAACGAATACTGGGAGATGATCAGACATGCCAACATTTAGTGTAACAACATTATGCATTCTATCTGGGTGACTTGAGTAGATGTGATCCAAACACGTGTTAGACACTGGTCGGGTGATACACTTGACAAGTTGAGTTAGATTTAGATTCAGAAGTGTTTTTACTAGATCATGTTTTAAAAAGGAATCTGGATTTAAGTAATCAATATTAAAATCACCTAAGATTACCAGTTCCTTATTTTCCAAATATGCATTCTCGATATTCTTTCCCAAAATTATGTTATATTCTTTTTTGGCAGATGGTGGACGGTAAACACCAGATACTAGCAATGGTCGCTTAGATTTGTGCGGACAAATTTCAATCCATATAGATTCAATATCTTTGGATTCCAGGTCCACTCTGCGCTTTGCTTCGACGCTCTTATTTACATATATCATAATTCCACCACCAACTTTTCCTTTTCTGTCCTTTCTATACATAACATACTCAGGTATTTTGTAGTAAGAATCGGGAATGTTCTCATTGCTGAAGGTCTCGGTTAGAATCAGAACATCAAGCTGAAATGTATTCTCGTGTTTGGACCTAAGGCTAAGACCAATTTCCTCGAACTTTGAGTCCGTAAGCCGTTGGATATTCCAGTGACAAAAAGAGAGACCTTTCTCGTTTTTAATGGGACGTAGATTGAAAGGGCCTGGATTTATCGCAATGTCACCAGCAAGCAGAATACAAATAAAGGTGTGAGAGTTGGTCGACAAGTTTAGCTTTCTTAATTTGATATCTCGTGTAGAAACCCAGATGCAACATTGTTGCTCAGGAAGGATTGCGAGATTTGAACTAATGTGGAAAATGTCTTTTGCTGGTTTTGGAGTGCTTTTGTTGGTTTTAACAAGTGGAAAGTTATTTGTAATATATAACCAGGAAATAACATAAACGAAAAGCAACCGTCCGATCATATTCATAGTTTAACAGCGTTGCATATGAATCAGTTTCGTCTACGTTTGTCAAATTTATCAACAGGGTCAAGGTATAAATTCTACAAATATAGACGTTGACAATACACGATCAATTTATGATCTATAAAGGGTGGTCATGATGGGTCTATAAAGGTTAAAGGTAAAGGTTTACGGTCGAATGACCTCCGTTTTATTCCGGCAATAAACAAGTAATTTCTCAATTTACATTGCTGATCTATACGTCTAATTTAAGCTAAAGATTTGGTTCGTCTAGTTATTGTATTTTTAAATTGGTGTAAATTCATTGAAAGGAGTTGCGTACTTGCGTTGGATTATCAAGTATCAATTTGCAGTGTCATTTTGCTACAAACCGGAAATCTTGGAAATCTTGGTTTATGTATAAAATATCTCCGTCGTCGTGCTGTTATTCGCTTGAAACTTTCTAAGTGAACTATAAATTGTGTTCCTGTTCTCATGAGTAAATTTTATATCATTTGGATGTACTGTGCGTGATTTATTGTATTCTTAACATTTTGACCGTTGGAACTTTAAATTCAAATTTTGTCTGGCGTCGTCTTCCATAGCAACAACTTTACGGCGTTGTATCTCGGTTTTGGGCCTTTAAAGTGAACTTTATCTTTTGGATTTGTGTTTATCTCATAACAGCAACATTTTAATTTACGTTATATTTTTATTGACGCAATATTCGTGATTCATCTAAAGTCTCATGGTTGCTACGTGGCGTGGATATATATCCTGGTCTCAAATTTAGGGATTTCCCCTCATTTACAAACCGCATCTGTTAACTAATCTGGTGTATTTGTCCTTGTGACAATCTTGCATACTTCTAATGACATATCTTGCATACTTCTTCCCTTTCTGACCCATTTATGTGACTGTCAGAACAGTCATGTGACTGTCAGAACAGTCATGTGACCATTATTGGTTCGATTTAATTAGTGTTCCGAAAATCCGGAGTACTCCGAACAGTAAATGGACTAAATGGAGCAGCTTTTTAATTGACAGCAGTATATTATATTCGGAATTTTCCGATTGTTCAGCAGCCAATAAGAAATAGGCCGATGGTTTTTCCGACGATTTATATCGAATTAAGAATACAACACGAGACGTTGTGGAAAAACAACCGACCAAAACCTTACTGCGCATTTCCGATCGCGCACGACCACAATGCACTGCGATACACAATGGTTTGAGATAAAATTCCCCCAGATGCACAAACTAGGTCTCGCTCGCTCCGCAGCAAATATATCCAAGGTAATTGCTGTGTTGGTGTAGTATACTCAGGTGAATAAGATGCTTGTGATGTTACTCTGAGTGTATATCCACACCGGGCAGGCTTGAAAAATATGCCTGACCACAGTGTATATCCGCACCGTGGTCAGGTATATATTTTCAAGCTTGCCCGGTGTGGATATACACTCGAGTAACATCACAAGCATATCCAAGGCGTTTTGTATCTGAGATTTTTTTCCAGAAGTTTGCGTTACTTTTGTTGTTTCAAGCGACCGTATTAATGTGTGTAAATGTATTGAATGAAAGAGTTGCCAGCCTTAGGATATTATACTATATGACACTGCAATGACGTAACCATGCGAGTCTGCATACATAATGAGCTACATAAAGGGCTATATAGCAAAGTCAGACGAACTGTATGCGCATTTTTAAATGTTTTTAACGCGTTTTTAAGCGAATACATACATTTGCTGGGTTGTCTATGCTAGTATCTGAGTTATAGAAAATACTACCTGAAGAGCATAAAATTCATAAAATGACGTCATTGTCGTTGCTATGGTAACCATGACATTTCAGTATGGTCGATGTTTTGCTTTTGAACTAAATTTAAATTCCAAAATAACAGTGACCTCAATTATAGAACGATTACTGAAAATAATTCATCAGCCATCTTTTTAGAAAGGTCGCCAGTGTAGAAATTTTTTAATCGCAAAAAACAAACATATTGTTTTAATTAAATTTTAAAAATCTACACTTGCATTTTTTATTAAAAGTTGGCTAAAATAATTATTTTCACTAATCAAACAATTAACAAAATAAAAAATGTGGTCACCGTTCTTTTTTCGAATTATTTTCAAGTCAAAAAAAAGTGGCCATATTAAAACGTCATGGTCACCATGGCAAGGAAAGTTTTGGGAGGCTTAATTTGGCTTAATTTCCATCCATCAACTTCTAAATTCAGATGCAATGTATCGCGTAAATTAATTTACCAGAGAAAAAAAACAACTCACCATCTTCTACTGTTCGATCAGTTTCTTTAGCCACGGTTTATCTCGGCTTTGCCTTTGATAGATTCACTACAGGAAATTAAAACATAGCTGATTAATTTTTGCATATATTAAATTAAATAGCAACATTTTACAGATAAATTAAGGTTGTGTTTTGCAGAAGGAGGGGAGGGGGACCTGTAATATAATTGGGGGGGGGGGTGAGAATTATTTATCTAACAGATCTATATTTAGGAGAAAATGTGAAATGGAACACTACTGTATCATTTGATAATAATCATCTTGTTGTGGTATTGAAATGTATGCAATGAAAGAAATTTTAGGTAACATTTTTAAAGAAAAATAGATTAAAATATTAAATGAGTTATTAAAAAGTAAAATAAGTAAAACATAATAGCTTTATACATTAAGAGTAGTTATATAATAACTTACAGGGTAACACATATAACATATTGTTGACTCTCAACACCATTGAAGCAGTTTCTTTTCATTTTCTTGATTGGAGAAGAAGACGTCCGCCATCTTGTCTTTGACCACCATGATTTAACTTTGAAATTTGTCTATCATTTCTTCATCGTTCCTCTTCCAATTTGGCCCAAAATTTAACAAAATGTCCATTATGGTCTCGTCGCAATTTCTGTAGAATTTAATTGTCCTTTATTTGATTTTTGCAGAAAATAAAGGATTTTGGCGTGGTTTTCATCGATTTTTTAAGACGTCTCTTCCCGAATCCATGCTGTAACTGACGTCAGAAAGCATTGATTCATGGTATATATATCCCGTATGTACAAAATTGAATTTTCGGTATTCCTGTTTACGAAGCTATAAAGTTTAATTTCTAGCTTAAATTAAGGGTTTTTAGCCACAGCTTTCAACTCTGATATGTCTTATATTTTTTTTCTTTATGATTCATATTTTATTTCTTTCAAAAAACGCTCCTGAAGAGCGTTTACCGTGTTTTTTTTTTATTTGCATGCTAATGAGTGCGGAAAGACAAGTCCGATTTGTCGGTTGAGTTTAACTTTTCCTCCGTGGCCGAATGGTAACGGCAACTGTATTGGGAAAAGCCACGCCCTTTGGTGTTTGCTCTGTATCGTTCCTCGCTTGGGACAACACAGGCACGAACCCAAACACTCAAGGGTGTGACTAGCTAGAAAACACTTGCCGGTACCGATAGGCTACCGAAGGAACGTTTAAACGTGCTGACAATTACTTCTATTTAATCATTTACCTTAATACTGCCCGACGGGGGCCTGCCTTTTGGGGGCCACCCAAAGCAACAAGCTTGCCGTGCGAAGGACAATTCCTTCGTGCACGGCAAGCTAGCTTTGGGCGTTCGACTAGTGATTAGTACAACTAATCACTAGTTTTGACTAGTGATTAGTACAACTAATCACTAGTCGAATCTTCGACTAGTGATTAGTTGTACTATATATATGAGCGATGTTGTGGCAATGGTTATGGTGCACATTTTCGTTCTGTACCTGCGCAGTCGTTTCTTTCTGAATAAAGCAGTATATGATATTGAGAAATGTCCTTGATTGGGATCACGTATTCTTGCGTGGTTTTTGGGTTAAACTCCCAGAGCATTTTATGTTCATATACTGCAACTTTCTTAGCGCAACTCATGGGGCAACTTATGATCGGCAACTCATCATGGCCGACATACCAATGATAGTATTTTATATATAGAGGATGAAATGTATAATAAACTGCAAGGTTTATTACTGCATTTACTATGCCAGGAATTGACCGAATACTGTTGTAATCACCCACTCACAATTACGTAATAGTTATGGCTGTTTCTTCCGATCCACAAGTAACAACGGAGCTTTAACGAAAGAG